TCTGGGGCATGACAGAAACAAACACTTGTTCAGACAGAATTCATGTTCTGCTTCAGACTGTCTTCTGTGAGAACACTCTGTTAGGGAATCTTGATTTTAGCTGATAAACTGCTTCCTGAACCCTTTTGTTGAATTAGTTTTGTTTGCATTGCTCAGCATTTCACTGGGTGAGGAACTGGCATGCAGATGTTGATTATGCTCCTCTTCTACAGTGAATATCACAGAAAAAGGTTTGAAGCTGTGGAAGGCTGTAGCCAAAATGCTCTAGCAGGCACAAAGCAGAGTCTGAAAGATGCTTTGGACTTGGACACAGGATGGAAGTGTAACATGTTCTGTAGAATTATGCTGGGAAGCAAATGTTAGGTCTCTGATGCTGAAATGGTAAAAATGAACTTCATGCACAGTCCTTAACAGTGGAGAACAGAGGGCTGGAAGGAGTAAACTGTCTTTAAACAAAGATAAAGCCTCTGCTGTCACCTTGCTACTCTGTGTTTTCCAGTAAGAGTTATTAGCTTCAGGGATGTGTTTCCTTGAGAGCTTAGAATCCCAGGAAAAGAGGCACCCATGGGAACATTATAATATTTTGCATGGAAAAGGAGATGTGAAACAGAACTGGCAGAAGAAAGAATGATGTGATCTAGCATAAATCTAATTGGCCCTTTAATTTTAGCCATTCTTTGATACTGCTACTTGTGAGTATTATTTATTCAGTGGGTCATGAATTTCTTTCAGTCTCTGAACACATAAAACCTCGGGGGTGGATGGAGAACCAGGACAGGGAGCTGTGGGAGGTAACAAAGCAAAAACCCTCTTTGTTAGTAAATGCTGCTGTGCAAGGGGCAGCACCTCCAAATGAGAATTTTTTAGATGGTCCCAAAACCTAAAAGTGATGAAAAACAACCCTCTAATATCACTGTGTTGCCTGTGGTTAATCTGTTCAGAAAGTGAAATCTATAAGGACATACTATAATGATTATTTTTAGATGTTTCAATGTGGGGGTTTAATATTTGAGGTTGGCAGCCAAGTATCTGGTCTGAATTGCAACTGGATCCCCACAAAATGTGTATTTGTATTGAATGATCAGGAGGCTTTATGCTCTAGCAGTTCAGTAGTTCTTGTTTTAAGAAGTTTCTCACTTGCCTCACAGGAACTTTGAGGTTTGGTCAGCTAAAATACTTACTGATTTCACTGTGTGATCTGATCTTTATTACATTCAGGATCAGACCAGGTGGTGAAGCTGCATTTCTGCTACTTGTGAAATGCCTACATTTTTCAGTGTGACATTGGATGGGGGTTGTTGCATTGGAACAGTATTCTGACTGCTCTTACAGGAAATGGTTAAAAAGGAATTTCTGCACATCTGAAAAGCTAGTCAGAAGAGTTTGTTGTTTTGTCTCGACTGCCTGATTGTGGATTAGGCTTTGGACTGTCTGCTTTAAATATCAGAAGAGAGGAGCTCCCTTTGTACAGGCAGAAGACAAAAAGTGTTGACACTGCAAAAGCTGGTGAACTGATAGCAACTCAACTTGTGGGTATTCTCTTCATAGATTTTTTGTTCTAGCATACAAAATTTAAATCAAAACTTGTGGTCTTGATAAGCAGTACTATTCTGTTTATTAGCTATAATGTTAGTGTATGTTTGTTATATCAAGTTTGTTAATACATCAGTTGGGATTGTTAATCTTTCAAGAGCAAGCTTTCAATTTCAATTGTCTTTCTAGGAAATGCAGAATAATTGCTGCTGAGGAGTGAGACTGACATACAAAGTATTCAAAAGTCTGGAAATGCCAAAAGTTACATATGCTGTGGCATTTTACTTTTTATTAAATTATTATAAATTTTTAATTTATATGTTTATGCTTATTGTGGAATGACATTCTTGGAGGTTGGGTTCCTGGGCTGAGGGGGCAGAGTTATTTGCTGGAAAATAGAGACTCCCAGCAAAAAGAAAGCCATGATTAGGGCACACATTTTGTCCTGCTGTAAGTCTGTTGCTATGGCATAGAAAAGTTTTCTGCAGAGGACAGTGAAGAATGAGCCAGTTCATTCTTCTCTACAAGAAGCCACCCTTGGTGTGGTCCCTGTAGAACTTAGATTTTCAGGGTGGCTGAAAGGAGGCAGCATTGTGAACAGGATGGGTTTCTGTGATGAAAATGTTGTAGCTAACTGCAGAAAGTAATGTGTTCTATACCACAGGGAGCATACAGAGCCTGGCTGAAATGTAATTAATGTTCACTTTAATCTCTGATGTGTACAAACAGGTGTTATTCAAAGTTTTCTTATACACTTTTTTAAAACCCTCGTGTAAAATGTGTGTTGGTTCTTACATCCAAGGGAGCAAATGTTCTTTTTAATGTCTGAATGAAACCTTTACATTCAAATGCTTTCACAAATTAGTTATGCAAGCTGTAAATTCCTTAATTCTAAATTGCTTTTGCTGTAGCTAGTATTGAAGTGCAAAAATATTGAAAAATATTGCAAAAGTCTTCTTTCAAAGATTGCAAGGGAGGTGGGACCGCTTCACCAGTTCTGGTGCATTAATGGCCATTATAAGCTTTGCTCCTCTTGCCTCTTGTAAAAAAATAATCCATGAACTAACCTAAATTAGAGTATCTGTAGAGCATCCATTTCAAAATGAAGAGATCTCCTCGTGCTAGTGAATCTACCAAATCCACATCCATTCTCTGGGTGAGGCCATGTTCTAGCTCCACAATTAATAGATCCCTTGCTTTGGGTAATATATCATCCTTAAACCTTAGTGCAAATATGAAGGTTTTTCTTTTAAATGCTGTCAGAGTTCCTTCTGATAGTTTGGTGCCTTCAAAGCAAACCTCAGTAAGCAGAAATCCTGGAAGATGAAATTTAACTGCCATGCCTCAGCATGAAGGCAATGTGGAAAAATAAATGCACTCTTGTTTAGTCTGAACTTTGCCTTGATTTTTTTTTCTAAACATTCTTTGAGGAACTCTGCTCCCTAATTTTCTTTTTGCCTCCTTCCTAATCTCAGAAGATAACTCTCCCATGTTAGTGGGGAAAAAACTGTTTCTGTAAACTGCTGGTTGTTTTAGGTCACAGTAACGAGGGAAATCAGCAACTACAGCAACACAGCTTTTCAACCATTGCTAGAAATAACTAATAAAAATGATTTCAAGGTAACTTCTGTAATTTTAAAAGGAAAAAGACATTCAGTAATATTCATGTGAGTGTCATGCATTTTCTGCTGTGCTTTGGTCAGGACACAGTGCTCAGTGCAGTTTCTTAACAGGCATAGAAGGGTGGTACTTTGTAATTTGCAGTTGCTGGAGTTTGGGTAGATTTTATTAATTTATTTCAGAAAAGGTAAAACAAATAATTGTGTGCACAAATAAAATGTCTCCTGAACTACAAGCTAGCAGAAAGCTTTTATCACAAAGCTTTCAAGGCTGCCTAAACTGTGGAGTTTAGTGGTGTTTTGGCAGCACAAGCTGGAGTTGTTGCATTGGAAGAAACTGATTCAGCTTGACTTTTCTACTTTTCTTTCCCCAAGACAGTGATGTAACTGTCCTGCTGGGAATGGTTTTTGGAAGTGACACTGTTTGCTGGTTTTGTGCTTATTTATGTATGGGCTTGAAATGTTCAACGTGTTTGTTAAATTGTTCACCTAGGGAAGTGATGGTGATGTTGGGTTGCATTTGTGGCAGTTTATGTATCTAAACTGAGTGGTATTTCATGCTGTGTGAGAAAGAGAAGAAGGCAGTGCTGTGTCCTGGCAGGATTCCCTTTTTCAGACATCCAGGGCCATTCTGAGCCAAACAGTGGAGCTGTGAACTTCCAGAGGAAGCTCCTGAGCACTCCTTGCTGAGCAGCCTGAGTGGTGATTTCTTGTCACCTCATCCTTGGCAGTGTTAGGGTTTGCTGAAGGTTTTAGAGTCACCTTTGTATTTTGAATGCTTTTTTATATTCAGTATTTTGAATTTCAGTTAAATTTTGAGTGTTGCCAAAGTTGAGAGATTCCCCAACTTCCCTGGGCAACTTATTGCAGTGTTTCACCACCCTTGCTGTGATAAAAATGTCTCTAATTCCCTAAAAATGTTATTTGTGCTTTTTTTCTGTCTCAGCCATCAAAGAAATAGTCTAACATAATTAGAAAATAATTACAGACATGACCATCTTTATATCACTTGAAATGTAAGCCAAAATATTTTGTTTGAAAATACAGCTTGTTACAGTACCTGTTTATTCTTAAGTATACATTTTTTCCTTTAGAACAGGAACAGTCTGTTAGGTTTGTATGAGGAAGAGCCTATAATGTCTTATCTCTAACTTGAAACTTGAGGAAAGATCTTTCTTCTGTTGTGCTTTGCATAGTTTAATAGTTTTTAAAAGGGTTTTTTAAAATAATAATAAACGTGGAAGATTTGCAGTAGCCTGTTTTAATACAATGACATTCTTCTGTCTAACAGAAAATCCTAGTAAAATAAGGTTACTCTTTTTTATGAGTACTCATTCTCAGAAAGTTTGTTTTTCTGTTCTCAGAATATTTGGCTTTTGTAATGTTCTATCTTCAAGAGCATTTTCCCATCTTCCAAGGTTTATTTAAATTACTGCTCAGAATATTTGATTTATTGAGAAAAGCGAGATATGCAGATTAACTTGATTTTATAGCAGAATGTTTAGTTTATAGCATTTATTCAAGATTCATAGGGTCACTTCTAGTAGAAGAATATAGTTTCTGTAAATCCGTGGCAAAAGCATGGGAGGTTTGCAGAAGCCTTTAACCTCCTGAACTTTCCCATGTCATCCTATGAACTCTGAATCTATGGCACTGTTCAAATCAGGAAATGTTTAAAAATGAAAAGCCAAAACCCTGGGCTGCTAGATTTTGTATACAGAACATCTGGGACTTTTGCAGTTTTAGCAATCATCCTAATCCTGGTAACATAAGCAGGCTATTGTAAACACTCATTATTTTATATAAAGTAGCATATGATTTCAATAGTTTGTTTTCTTGTTATTTCAGCTTTATGACAAAATAAACACAAAATCTTCGCCACAAATCAGGAATCCTCCAAGCGATGCTGTACAGAGAGCCAAAGAGGTAATGGCTTTAAAGTATGGTTTTTTTCCTTTGAAAGGTTGATTGTATTTAAAATGTGACTTGCTTTTCTTCATTAAGATGTGTATTCTGGCTCATTATCTGAATTATTTCTGGAATATTACCATTGCTTACCCAAGTTATGTAACAAGTTGCATAAACTTGCAGAATTCCATTATCTGTGTAAGGATTATGAATATTACTCAGATTAATAATTTGACCTTTTCTTCAACAGTAGTGGTGTTAAAAGGAACATTCCTGCTGGGTAATTGCAGAATCTTTCCTGTTCAGGTTATTTATCTGCACCAGAAACCTGATGTTTATACAATTTAGTCACAAAAAGAAGTGTTTTGAAGTGTCAGCTTTTTAAATTGAAAAAAACCCCAAGTTTATCATAGATAAGTCTAAGAAGAGCAGACTTGGAGAGAAGGTGGCCCACTAAGACCAAAGATAGACACAGATGTTCTTAATTCTTGTACCTTGCAAATAGTATGTTATTTGCTTATTTATGGCAAGCAGTAAAAAACCCAAAGCCATATTGTATTATGCATTTTCAGTAAAAATTCATGCAGTTGTTAGGGGTTACAGAATAGGAAAACTGTTTATTGTGCTATTAAAGGAGGAAGACCTTAAAACTCTATGTAATAGCTAAAGTCACACTGATAGATGCCCTCAAGTCCTGTTCTGCAAAATTTGCTGTCAGTTAATCCTGGGAGGGGCTTCCAGAAGCAAAATACTCTGCTTCCATTGTCCAACTAGCTGCATGTGAAAAATAAGGTGTAATAATCAGGTTGCAGGCAAATGAGTTAAAGCTTCTTTACTCCTTCCCCAGTGGTAAAGTGGCTCAGATTTTATAAAATCTGGAGCTTGGAGGTGGGGTAGCAGATAGCCCACCTAGACTTGGTGTCTTTAACATTTGATTTTTGTGAGTGTTTTTCATTCTGTTTTAATAAATTGAAGCCATGTAAGAAAGCACAACTGGTGGAGGTCTTGCATGTCACCTGTTAGCACTCCATTCCTGTCCCCATGTATTTAGCTGTTGGAGGAATGCTGTCAATTGAAAAAACAAAAATCCTTCAAATTTCTGCTTTAATGTTTCAGAGAGAGCATTGGAACAAGATATTTTATTCTCTTGGGGCAGCTGGGTAGGGGCACATTCTCTTAAACCCTTCCCTGTGTCAGAAATGTGTATAATCATTGGTGGATATTCTGACTGAGCAGTGAGGGGTTTAGTTTCTTCAATAGCTTTAAAAGAAAGTTACTATGGGCCATTTCTTCTGCTTATTTTGCAGGTATTGGAAGAAATTTCATGTTACCCAGAGAACAATGATGCAAAGGAGCTAAAGCGTATCTTAACACAACCTCATTTCATGGTAAGCAGATCCTACTCTTGTTTAGGTTTTTTTTTCTCTTTTTTTCTTTTTTTTTAATATTCTTTGTGTTAGAAAACTTCAGTAAATTCTCAAAATCTGCAAGGGATGGAATTGCATACAATACACCTATTAATAAGTATTTCTAACCTGCTGCTCTGGCAAAAGAATTAGTATTGGTCCTCATTACTGTGCTCAGAACTGCCCAAACAGCTGGTGGAGTAGTGTAGTTATGGGGCAGTTTCACTGTGTTTTTGGAGGTCTGTGTTACACATGGAAAGAAGAATTAATCCTTTTGGATGTACATAGACAGAGCTGGGATCCTCCTTTTTCTTTTTCCAAAGGCCTTCTTAGGATAAAGATGTGTGAATTCATTGCAAAATAAGTGTTCATTTAATTTTATTTTACAACAAATCAGTAGTTTGTACAGTCTGTTGAGTTTGTATTACATATCAACACTTACTGTGTCTGTTTCTCAAATCTGATTTGAGGACAAAAATTGTCCTAAATTCAGAGATGTTACTCCTTTGTAACTTGGTTCAAGTTGCTGAATTCTAGTAATTTGAAGGATTTCTTTTGTTTATGCTGTAGGTGAAGTTCAGAAATTGAGAAATAAACATGTTTGCTTAAAACTGCTATACACTATTGTCAGCTTAAAATCAAGAATTTGACTTTCCCTACTCAGCTTCATTTGGAATCTGACCGGTTCATTTTATTTACTTTTTTGTGTGTGTAATTAGCCCACAGGATTGCTAAAACATGAAGAGCTGTTGAGAAAGAGCATTTTTTAAGTATAAATTATTTTCAGAGTAAGCATCAACAAAATTATTGTGGTATATAGAAATTTCATATATCAAATTAAGTGGCAGGAAAATTGAGTTGAAAATTTTCTTTTTTAGGTATCTCTGTTCCCTGATATGCTCATAAATGTAATACCATTTGTCAGAATTCTTTTGCTGCAAATCTATGAAAAGTATTTTTTCATAAGGAATAAGCTGCAATTCCATAACAAGTACTTTTGATGAGGAGTAATTTCAGCAAGTGAATCTGTGATATCCCAGGGTAAATTGCCAGTTGCTGAAGTCCCATTATCCCTTTTTTCCCCATCTTTCATCCTCTCCCTTGTAGTTCTGGCTTTCATCTAGAACTGCACTTTAATGTTGCCCTCAGCTGAACTAGTAGAAAATTGCTCCAAAAAACATCCCCAACTAACCATTTAGCAAAAAGAATTTAGGATAACAGGCATGCTGCCAGAGCCAGAATGAGCAGGGGAGCAGAAACAGTTTGTGGTTTGTGTTTGGGAGGAATGTAAAGCAGCAATTAAAGCAGCATAAGTTGGTGTGGATCCACACCTGCAGATCCCACAGTCTCCAGATGCCAAAGGGACAACTCCATCCTCTCCATCATTCCCACTCCTGCTCCCAGATGCACCTTTATGGGTTGCAGACTTTAATAAAATTATTCTTAGATTTGTTGCATTCTGCTAAACTTCCCTTCAGAGCAAAAGCCTTTATATTTTAGAGGAAACTATTAGGAAAAGGAATAATTGTGTAAACCAATATTGTTATCTCACACTGTATGTGTTTGCCAGGTGTTGTACAGAGGAATATTCTGGTTATTAATGCACATTAATTCAGTAATCAATTAAGTGTAATAAGTAGGAGTGTTCATTTACATCTATATGATAATGGACTATTTTAGTATTTTTTAATCTAATGTGTATCCCTAATCAGAAGAAAAAAGAGTATAACCTGTCTTGTTTACTTAACCACAGTGTTAGTGGGTTAAACTATGTGCAGGCCTTGACAGAACCAAAGCCAATGTGTTTGTAACAGATCTTAGGGTGTTCTGTTCTAATTTTCTTTTGCCCTCATGTGCCTTATGGCTGCAGAAATAAATTATCAATTTATTCTGTGCATGTTTAACATTTTAATTTAAAGAAATGTGTGTAAATTTTGCATGAAGGCCTTTCAGTAGATAATTAATTTAAGAATTCTGAAAGCATTGTCAAGTACCTCATTTGTTATGCATGTACACATTTCAAAGAGCTTTTATTCCATTTCACGACTTTCAGTAGCTTTTCAAATATGCCAGTTTCATGTGTAAAAGATTCTATTATATAAGTTTAGTATGTTGTAGCAATTGAAATATTTGCTAGGAGACTTTTGCTTAATGACATATTGAAGTTTTATCCATCATCATATGCCTTCCTGTGCTGTTCTCTGCAGTGATCCTGCAGTACAGTAGAAAGCAGTTGTTCTCACTAAACTAATTTTTAGCAAGATTATCATGTTCTGCAAAGGAAAAACAGGAAAAAAACCCATCAAAATTAGCAGAAATTCTTGAAAACAGGCATCTTTAAGTAAGGTCCAATAGGAATCTTTTTATTAAATGTTTTCAAAATTAATTTGAGGTTGCTGTACTTTAATGTATTTCTGAAGTAGTGTTCATTTTTGTGAACATATTCAGAAGTCATTAAGTATAATTATGGACCTTTAAAAATGCTGGAAGTGCCAAATGTTAACCTCCTACAAGGTGAATATTATTGCTAAAAATAATATAAAGCAGGGCAAATATTTGATGTGATAAAAATGTAAGCACTTGGATTACATAAGAAATGTAATATTAAAGTGTGGAGAGTGTAACAGATACAGGCAGGGGCACTGAAGCACCTCCAAGGTCATTGTGTCCAACCATTAACCTACATTGGAGTTCCCATACATAAATGGACACACAAATAAATCAAAATTTAATTAATATTGTTAAAGTGGTTTAACTTACATGGTCCAGATCTCTAATATAAAATGTTGCTTCTGTAGAGCGGTCTAATGCAGAGGAATTGTTGGGAGTTTGAGCTTAGTGGCTGACAAAATAAGATGAAAAATAGGAAATGCAGATACAGGTTAATATTTAACTAAAAATAGTATGGATGTAAGTGGGCTTGAAACACTGGGAAAATGGGAGGGAATATGGGCAAAGCATTGTTAGTTTGGGGAATTTTGTTCCATCATTATAGTGTTGACTTCCCAAATATAGTTTCAAATCTATTAGAGAAATGAGAATATAAAGTGTTTAAGAAATTACCTTTTATCACACAGTACCCTTTAGAAGTGCTACTGAAGTAGCTAATGAAAGCTAATGAAGCAGTATTTTAGCAGTTTGCTGGTTTGCACTCTTAATTTTTGTGAAGCATTTTGAACTCAGTGGTTGTGCTGGGACCAAGTTCTAGGGGGAGGAGGGACGATAGAAGCAATTATGGTAGCAAACAACAAAAAAAACAGTGTTTTCTTCATTCAGTTGGTATTGATCTACAGTCTGACTTTATTAGAGTGAGATACCATGGGATCTGAGGAGCTTTCCATTTTACTAGAGTAATTATTATAGAATGGTTTGCACAGAAAGTTAGATTCCTGATTCTCTATCTATGCACACGAAGATGGATTCACTCTCACCCTGCAGGTGTCAAGAGGATGATGGGAAGGGAGGCAGCATCATTCTCATTGAAGTCCTACAGTAAAAATCACATTAACTCATGCAGGCTTTAGAGTCTCAGTGTGTATAGGCATTTGCAGTCTGAAAGTCTGTCTTAGACTCCTTTAAGGGAAAAGTTCTTCAGTAGAAAATGGGGCACAAATATCTTGGATTTCCTTGAAAATCTTCAAAAAAAACCCTTAGAAGAAATGAGCAAGGGACATAGGAGATGATAGAAATGTCCCATTTTGTTGCTGTGCTGTCCTGCAGGCCTTACTTCAAACCCATGATGTAGTGGCACATGAAGTTTACAGTGACGAAGCGCTGCGGGTGACCCCTCCTCCCACCTCGCCCTACCTGAACGGGGACTCCCCGGAGAGCGCCAACGGCGACATGGACATGGAGAACGTCACGCGCGTCCGCCTGGTGCAGTTCCAGAAGAACACAGATGAGCCCATGGTATGGGGGATAGCTCACCATTTCCCTCTGTGCTGGTAAAGACCAGTGCTGTGATGATTTTAGTGCCATTTCCTCACTTGGAGATGGGGTTGTCAATTAACTGGAATAGATACTTATCCTCCTTGAGATGCTTTGTGTGCACTCACACTGCTGCTGTGCCACTAGGGCTGGGTTTGTTTAAAAGCTACAGCAAATTACTCCTTAAACACAACTGGAGCCTTTACATACACTTCAGTATAAAATCACATTTTTAGCAAACCAGATCCTTATATACTCATATGTTGAAGTATTGCATCTTCACTTATAAATAGTATCTGGTCTTATTGCTCATCTTGAAGTGAGTGACAAAGATTTTATTTCAATCTTAAAATTTATACCCTGCCTTCAAGCTTTCAGGAAACATGACTATTCTTAACCACTCAAGAATCACAGTGCTTAATATTTTATTTTAAAAGTATAAACATTCTTTTTTTTCTAGGGAATCACTTTAAAAATGAATGAGCTGAACCACTGCATTGTGGCAAGAATTATGCACGGAGGAATGATTCACCGGCAAGGTAATCACATCTCATCAAGAGCTTTGTCTTCAAACACAGTTATTTTAGATCCTTTTGTACAAACTGTGTACAATCTCCTGATTTGGATTGCTACTACTCCCTGGCAGTGTCTCTCTGTGCCTGCATGGACTCCTGCTAACTGCTTTAGTTACCTTGCAGTTGCAGATGTCTGTCAGTGTTTTGAGGTGAGGGCCCACTGTGTTTCATTTAGGTCTTAATTAGTGTAATTACTATCCTGAGTATAGCTCAGCAAGAGATGGAAACACCAATAATTTTGGTGCTGTACTTATTTAATCATCTGTTTTAAAAAAATCCTTACTCAAGTGGCAGTATTTTCTCTTGCCAAAATGAAAGAGCTTTGTCCACACAGTTCTTGAGGATCTTTATATTTTTGGTGTTGAGAATCACAAAAATGAGGTTTGAAATAAAAATACTACTTGTGCCTAGATTCTAAATCTTTATTTTCAGTTTTCACTACCATAACAAATCCTGCAAACATGCTTTTTTTTCTCATCCTTAGTCTTCTCCTTTTTGTCATTTTGTGTGTTCATATCAGATGTCCAGAAGTAACTGGGTTTTGTCCTGCTTTAAACAGATGAACTTCCCTACTAGGTTGTTGGCTGCAAGTTTGGATTGCAGCCATGAAAGGGTTACTTCAGTTTTTTCAGACTGCCATCTTTTTCTTGTGATGAAAACAAAAATTCTCTTAGTTTTTCAGTCCAGAGTTCCCTCTAGCCTACTGTTCTATTTCAAAGGGAGCTAGGAACAGGTGATTGGGAAGACAAAACATATTCACTTCGTCTCACTGATATGGTAAAATCTGTCAGGAAGCAGGAAAGACAAAAGTTTTAATACAAAGAAAGATGCAGTTCAGAGAGAATTCTGTGTCTTTGGAGGACCTTCTGAATTGAAATTTATTTGGCTTCTGAAAGTGAGTTTTAAAAGGAGGTTGCTCTAAGATTCACAGGAGCAAGGTTTTCTTCCAACTGTGCTTAGGTAGTGGTGATGCTCTGCACAGTATTGCTTCACATGACTGTGTTCCATAATGGAGCTAATAAAACTTTTAAAACCTGCTAAAACTGGGTAAAATATCCAACTGTGCCCATTACAACTCTTCTTTTTAATTATACAGTATCGTTTGTTTCTAAAGATTTGGGAAATTTACTCAATTTCTGTGTGCTTCATCTAGCTAAGGTAGTGCTTCTACACATGAAATTGAGCTTTACTTCAGTGTTTCTTAAGTATGGTCATCTGGTTTTTTAATGTTTCTAATTCTGTTAGTGCTCTAGATGTCTCTTAGATTCACTGCTTCATTCAGCATACCTGTATTTAGAATATTTTTACTGAATAGAACAACACAAGTGTAATTTGACAGTGATCTCAAGCACCATCTTTGAATCCTATTGGTAGGACCTGTGCCTTGAATTGGTTTTGGGGAGTGTTAGATCATTCTTCTCTGCTGTCTCTTTTTGCTGTATGGAAAACTGCAGTGTCTGGATAATAAATCTGCTGTGAGGCTTACAGGAACTGTATAATTTCAGGTCTAGCAATATTAAACATAAACTGTGCAGTTCCCAGTCACAAAATTGTAGCTGCTGTGAAGCTGTCTCCTGTCTCTAGGCCAGCTCTGCCTAGTCCTGGTGATTGAAATTGTTCTTATTCCAAAGGTGGCAGAGTTGAAATGGGAAGAAAGGCTTTTAAAGAATCCATCTACTCACACCTTCCAGAGAATTCAGTGGAAATGAAACACCAGTGTCAGTCATTAAAAATTGTCTGTTTGTTGTTGACATGTCTGCCAAATGTCCATTCTTTATTCCTAGTTTTTATGTATACTTCTCCTTACAGTCATGAACAAAACAATATTCACTTCTGTCAGAGTGACAGAAATGGGAAACGATGCAGAAAAGGGGATTTTATTTGATACAGGGATGTTACTGAATCTGATTCTCAGTCTAATATGTAATTCCATCAGTTTTATGTTTTGAATAGTATTAGAGAATCTTTATGCTATTCCAGGCCATATGGTGGTTTTGATTCAATATTATTGTTTAATAACAAAAACATGTTTTTCCTGTTTACTGAGGAGATGCCTGGGCATCTCTTGCTGTGTATTCACTGCACTCTGAAAGACAGATTTGTAGCTAATACAAAGTCCTTTTCTGAATCTAGCAAAAAATTTATTTTAATGTTGTTTTCTGTTTATGCCTTTCTATGAATAATAGTGCTGTGTTGGGATTATTTCAATTTGTAGAAACTGAGGTGATTGTGTGTTTGTTAACTCTGCAGGTACGCTACATGTAGGAGATGAAATCAGAGAAATAAATGGAATCAGTGTGGCAAATCAAACTGTAGAGCAACTACAAAAAATGCTTGTAAGTGCCTGAAGTCTTCTTCATATCCTCTATAAAAATGCCTGTCTTATTTGGTCAAAACTTTTGTTTAATTGGGTTCTAACTTCCCCTTTTTCTAGTGTTCTTGATAGGCTATATGTCCATGCAGCAAAAAGTTCTTTCAGTTTATTACAGTTGAGCTCACAGTTAAAAATGTAAAAAACATTACTTTGAGCTCAGACAGTCTGTCTTTTTCCAGGAAAACTCCACCTTTGTCCTTGCTAGTAGAGTCTGTTTGATATTTCCATAACACTTGTTAATTTTTCTGCGTGCAACACTAACCTTGACATCTTGGATGGTATCACTAATCCTAGACAGGCTTCAAGGGAAATAGAATTTTTTTGGGGTCACAGTAAGCCAGCCAAAGAGAGAAAGGGGAGAAACTCTTGAGATCTCTTGAAGCGATCTCTGATTCTGTCCAAATCAAGTCCTGCAGTTGTCAGCCACGTGGTATTCACAAGTATTCAGAGTGCCATTTAAGAAAATATGTTGTCACAATCTGCTGCTATTCTGGAGTTACTACTTGTTATAAATATTCTTATACAATACTAAATGCAAAGTAGCAGACCCCATGTCCTGTTTTGATGAAAGACTGTTTTTGAAATTCCTACCTTCAGGAAAATGCAGCTTTCCAGAAACTGAATACAGTTTTGCTATTTAACATGTATTGTGAAAGGGAAGAAAATGCCACTTTGGTAGAAAAGACTGTAGATGACAAGAATGTAGCTACAAAGAAAAGGTTAACACAGAAGAAACCTACACATCTCTGAATCTCTTACATAAAAATACAGTTCTGGATTCTAGGCATTCAAAACCTCGTCAGGTGAACAAACTGGTAATGCATGTTCATCCTTTAGATTAATGAGGACAATATGAATGTTTGTTTATAGGTGATATCACAACTCATCCATAGCATTTTAGCTTTTCATACTTGGACTATGATGTTTTCCTTTCTAGCATTAACAATTTGGAGATTTTCTCTTCAGTGTTAGTCTCAAAATGCCTCTTTTTTCACAGAGGGAAATGCGTGGAAGTATTACCTTCAAGATTGTGCCAAGTTATCGCACGCAGTCTTCATCCTGTGAGGTAATGAATTTCATGAGCCATCCCCTTTCTTCCTCAGTCCTGTAACTAACTGCCTGCTGATGGCTGAATGTTCCTGCTTTCTGGGAAATTGTTTCTGCCTGTCCTGTTAGATCGCACACCAATTTTACAACAAAGATAACGGAACACGAGTAGGTCCCACCTACCTACTCAGCCCTGCCTTCATATTCATCTCATCAGCACCTTAACTAACTCTTTACAGCCTATTAAAGAAAAAAAATAGGAAAGGGGATCCTCAACTTATGCATTTAGGAAGCCCCTTAAAAATATGACCATTTAAACTCATACTTCAGTAAGTCTATTAAAGTTCCTAAGCTGAGGAACGATCCTCCTCTTTTTTAGGCTTTAAACATTATATTACTGCTTTGGGCTGTTAAGGGTTAATTGAAAAACCTGTTTCTGTATAACCCTGTTGAGGTAAATTTGTGATGGTCGTGTGTAACAGTTACATGTGGCTTAATATTATGTTTCCATGAAAAAATGGTCTTTGTCACTACAGAAGAAAAACAGATTCCGAGTTGTTGCCGAACCAGAAACTTGGTATTACAGCTTTTGCACAGCAACGTTTAATTCCCTTCTGCTCACAAAGTTAGATTCCAGATTGCAACTGAAGGGGATTAAATTGTATGAAATGGCTACTTGAGAGCCCCTGTTCAGTGTGAGCACACAGATGGCATTTGCAGCGTGTGGACGGTGCCAATCTTGGAGCCACGCGCTTTACTGCGCAAACAGCTCCCGAATTAGAACTCTCCAAGTGAAATCACAACCCCTGCTGAAGTCAAGCACCTTATCTTAATTAGAGCTGTGATTTCACCCTAATTGTTCTTATGGCCCAGCAGATGCTAGAATACACAGAAACTGCTATTGTGGTTGTCAGAACAATCTGTTCTGCAAGGAAAAAAAATGCTGCTTTTTGGTTGCCTTCAATTCTTCTGGTAGGATTCAAGAAAAACTAAAAGGTTTTAGAGGTAAAAGGTTTGACATATTTTCACCTCTGAGGCCAATTTCCTTAAAATAAATATGAAACCAAAAGTTTTTCATGAAATGCAAAGGCTTTTAAAAAAAGTGCAGCATGCTGACAAATTCATGTATTGACTTCTGTGCTGCAAAGAGGAGTAATACTAAAAGATACCTTACTTCCCAATATTGAAATACAGAAACTGGTGAAGCTGCAGATTTGCTGAGAAGATGATTATTTGGGAAGACTCAGCATAGAGCTTTAAATTATTACTATTAGTTGTCATTTTAGTAATAGCAGATAATATCTTTTCTTTAGTTTTGTGTCTTTAGGCTTTTCATGACTATTATTTCACAGAAGAATGGAAAATATACTCTTACCTTTCTTTGGAAGAAAATGGCTAAACTAGAAATGTGTGATCAAAGAGAAAAAGAAATCATGTCTAATTATCCCACTTTGTAGCATTTAGCATTGATTAAGTCAGAGAGGGATGAGTCTTTTCCACTTGCTCAGCCACACTGAGGCTTTGGCTTGGTTTTCATCAGTTACAGGTGTACACAAAAACCCCAGTGTTCTTAAATCATCCTGTTAAAGCATCACTAGTCCTTTGGCACACAGAGAATTTCTTTCACAGAATTTTTCAGGAAGATGATTCAGAAAATGAATCAAATCCTTAACTATTGAAAAAGGCTAAAATTCAATGTTGACTGACATTACTAACACAGAAATCTTGCTTCTCATAGGATAAATAGAGAGATACTGGCTCTTCACTAATATAATCTTCCTAGTTAAGGTATTTTCTGGCAACATTTCAGTCTATATTTGGTTTCCCCCCTCCTTCAGTCATGGACTGATGCTCATGTAGTGTAGTTTTATGAGAAGAGGAATATAAAACAGAACTGAGGACTGGGGGCTTTGAGGCTCCTACCAGGATCACATCATTGAATTGCAAAACATCTTGTTAATCTTGAATAAGAAAAAACTGCATATTAGTAGAATCAGAGATGATGTGTCTTTTATTTACAATCCTAGGCCTTCACAAAGGTGAGGGGGGCATGGAATGTTTCTTTTTTAATAACTGGGATTTGAATTTCACTTGCCATATTTGTCTTCTTTTATAGTCATTTAAAATAAGTGCTATTTTCTAAATATTGAGCCATTTCTGCATATATATATATATATATATATATATGGAAGTCTTTTTCCTGCACTATGTAATTCAGGGTCACTAGGCAGTTTGCAAAATCTCAGCTGAATAATTTCAGATTTTTTAGGCATTTGTGGCTTTTCCTGCACTCATGCCTTCCATTCAGTTACCAGACCTTCTATTTCATGGAGCAGACCTTGCTTGAAGACATAATAATTTTGAATTCCCTTGTGTAAAAATGGATCAGCTGATGTGGTGTGAGGTGACCTGTTTAGTCACTGGCATGGCAAATGACCTGAGTTAACACACACAAACTTAGATAACAAGGGGCCAGGGTGTTGTTTTCTTCATCAGATACCAGGAAAATTGCAGATTTACATAAACATGAACTTAAGTAACTATTGCAACACATCCTTCTTATGGCTGATGGCTGTGTACACTATTTATGTCTTTCAGTTTTATCCCAATGATTAAGCATTTTGTTTTGGCTGCATTTGCATTTTTACTTTGTACTGACACAACACCCAGAGTAACTTTTTATAGTGTCAGATATGTGACAATGGTAAGAGAAGTACTTTATCTTTCTCTTTTTTTTTCTTTAAACAACAAAAAAAAAATCCTTATAAACATTCTTTATGTTTCAGATTGCCTTTGTGAAACTCTTAAGTTGTTTTATTAAGAAGAAAAGCCTTTATACATGGGAGTTTTTAAAAGCCTGGTGGTAATCACCAGGGATTTTTTCTTTTATCTTCCATGGTTTCCATTAGTGCTCAAGCATCAGGAGTTTTTATTGTCTTAAACCTTTTTAAAATTTGTATTAAAGATACTGACAGATGTGTTCCTTGAGCAAGACAGAAATGTAAAGTATTTCCAGAATTTTGGAAATTCTGTCTGTTTTTATTGGAGGTTTTGGTTTTGTTGGTTTTCTTGTTTGAGTTTCTTTTTTTGTATCTGGCAACAATGTTGCTCTACCTGTTTTTGTCAGTATCTAATTTGATCAGGTCATATTTATTAGACATAATTGTTCTCTATAGATTTGCATCTCAAATACATTAGTTTATCATTCAGAAACCATACCTAAAAATGGGGAATCAACAGGAAACTGGGTTTGAATCAACAGGAAACTGGGTTTGCCATCATTTGGAAATAATTGTGGTTGTTTCCTCTAAGGCTCTGGCTCTGTGGCTCTTCAGCTGAAAAGTGATGACCCCAAAGGTTTCTGTGTTTTTTATCTTAGGGCTGGAGAAGGCTGGGAAGTCCAGACAGTTGAGTTTACTAAAATATAATTATAATAACCTTTCTACATCATCCAGAATCACTGGATCCTCCAAGTGTTTTTCTGCCCCTATTCCCAGGAAAAGAAGGGCTTCTGCTGATTTACTGGAGAAACAAACTCACAACCCAAACTGAGTTTTTCCAGGCCAGTCCTAGGCAGTCTTGTTATTCTACAAGGATCTCTGTGCTTATTGATTTGTCTCATTAGATTGTCCAAAATACAGTTTTTCTCCTAACTTTACAGTCTGGTATTTTTTGAAAGAAAGAAAATTGTCCCTAAAAAATAAAGAATCTAAATGCCTTTGAAATTCTGACAGAGCAGCCTAATTATGTAAAAGTCATACATAAAAAAATGTCTCTTGACTAACTTGTTAGATTATTTCTGACAGCACTGAAATCACCAGTAGCACTGAAAATGTATATTTTCCTCAGTGTGTTATGATGAACATTTGCTTTGAATAATATGCTGTCTTGTGTTGGGAATTGTTGGAGGAATACAAATCAAAACATTCTCAAACCAAGAAAATTTCCTTCAAAGGCAGAATCTTTCAAGACAGTCCAGAAATAGTGGCATTCTCTAAACTTGTTTTTCTCCACATGATTTGGGTGCTTGCATCAGTTTCCAAAGTTTTCCCTTGCTTCCTTGCTAAACCATCACTGACAACAGATCATAACAAACCATATTAAAAAAAAAAAAAAGTTAAAATTTATTTTCACCTCTTGAAAGTGAGAAAATAGCAGAGACAGAATTGCAGAGCAAGCATATAATCTCTTTATAAAGCAAGGAAGTTACTGCCTTCTTGAAAAAAGTTCTTACGGTTATAATTTGATAAAGTTGATGCTGATAATCCATACACAAAAGAAAAAAAAGGAATACTGATTCTTTTAGGCTTTTCAAGTTTTTTATATTTTTTAAATTTTTAAATATTTTTCAGTAATGAATGGTTTATTTGCTCTCATTTGAATATTTTAAACTTGTGCTGGAGTGATTTTGTAATTAGAATTAGGGCTGATTTCCCCCAGTCTGTTACACATTGCAAATACTTATGGGAGGCAAGTTTTGTTCTTATGCATGTGGCATTAATCCCTGATTAGTGTTGCATGAACAGTTTAGCTCCGGGTTTTTAATTATTCACAAAATAATGGTATTGATAAAATATGACAGGGTTAACTTTGTTTGCTTAGGAAACTGTTTTAGCCCTTTTTCTCTGCTGTCCTTGATGTTATACAAAATAACCAGACATTCCTAAGCTGACCTTTGACGTGGAATATTATATTCCAGAATTCCTGTGAGGGTAAAGGGATTTTTTTTTAACAGTACATGAGTGGATTATTTTATTTTCAGAAGACATGGCTCAATTATCTGACTTCATGGAATTAAGCACTATGCAGTCAAAATGGCATGTGAAAAAGATGGCTCTGAAAATCCCACCAGAAATTCCTGTTATCCTTCTTGTAGAGTTTCCCAGTGTGCTCCCTGTGTCTGCTGTCTCTGCACTGAAGTGTAGGGCCACACTGGTAGTCTGGGTCAAGGGAATTGGCTTTTTTAAAGTGCTGTATTTTGGCAAGGTTTGATACTTTCAAGTCCATAAGAATGTTGGAGGAAAACCCTCATTGTGCTGTAAAATGGATGAGAAGGGAGGAGAGAGAATCCAGCTTTCTCCTCAGTGTCTGTGAGGCACTGCAGGGAGCTGCATCTTGCTGAGTAGAGACTGACAACCACCACAAAGCTGAAAAAATATTCAGAAACATCTTTAAAACAGGATATGGGCCTCATTCTATTCCAAGTACTGTTCAGGGTATAACTTCCAGGTGCTTTAACCAGGACTGGTGTGTGACTGAGGGCTGGTAGCATTGTCCACCACATGAGATCTCTGAAGTCCCAGTTATTTATTAAAATGCTGAAGGCAACATAGAAATACCAGATTTATTATTACATCAGATAAATCAAAATGTCAAACCTGAATCCTAAGCTGTGGAAAAGCTTTTCAGCTTTACAGAGTTTGTAGTGTGGAAGCTTTCACAAATGAAGCAGCTAAGCAAATGGTTATAAGGCTGTGGATGTAACTGTTCTTTGAAATATTTCTGTGTTCCTGTGATAGTGTTGTGTTGTTAATGAACCTTGTGTCTTATTTCAGAGAGATTCCCCCTCTACATCCAGACAGTCCCCCGCTAATGGTCATAGCAGCACTAACAATTCTGTTTCGGTAAGATTTCCAGTTCCACACAGAGAAAGTGTGAAAGTTTTGTTGGTGCTCATCTGCCATTACTGTTATACTTATCGTGTGGTCAGTGGAAAATTTTGTCCTGCTGAGAGAACCCAGGTTATTACATATGTAACTCCCCATTTTCTTTCCTTTTTTTTTTTTTAAAGGGCTTTTTCCAACATGTTCTTCTCATTAAAAGCCATACAGTGAATTAAATGTTAATAACTGTACTGTGACACTTCAGTCATCCTTAAATCATTGTCAGCACTTTCCTCAAAGCCAAGCAGAGGTTTAAAGTGGAAGCTTTTATTTCCATCCTGAACTTTGGAAGCAGAGTTTGAAGGAAGAGAGTAACTGTGCAGTTGGTATCCCAAGACATTTTAGATCCTTTTTTTTTTTTGAAGTTTTGTGTTTGAGAGCCCTCTGGAACGTGTACTGGTTTCCGCTATCTGAGTTAAGGAATTGGTGTGCTCTCTGCTGTCGTGGTACGTGCACATACTGTGTGAAACATGAGCCTTGCCTGGATATGGAAAGCAAAAGGAAGTGGCTTTAAACTGCACTACAAACCAAGCTATTACCATCACATCTTTAACACAAAGTACTTCTGTTTTCTATGTATTCAGGTAGAAAGGTGCTGTCGATCTCCTGTTCTTCCTAAAGTACATTGGTGTTAAAATTCGTCTTGTTTCTCATTTGTTGTTGTTTGGACCAATGTAGTAACTGCACACAAGTTTCTTCAGTGAGTGCTGTCAACATCATGAGTTCATGGGACCAGCTAAAAACAAACCAAAAAAAAACCCAAAACCAAGTAACTATTTCTTTAACTATTGATAAAAATTGCAACTTAGACATAATTTGCCACAAGGTAAAGTGCTTATTAATTAGTAGAGTGAAAAATAATTTTGTGAATTAAAAATTTAGGACATTTTTGTGAATTAAATTAAATTTATAACATGAAATTAGTTATAATCTTAATTCTCAGCACAGCTGATCACATTATACATTTTTAATCATAGGTTTTTTAACATTTATAATAGCCTCTCTCTTTTAAAAACAAAACTTGATACTTAAATGGAAAAGGCATTCACATAAAGAGCCTCTTTCACTTGGTGGTGCTTTTGTGTTGAAGATGCTGAATTATTTATTAAAAAGCACATTCTCTATCTGCTTAAACTTTTTACCTGCTTTCTTCAGCTTGCTGCTAAACAGCCTGGGTTTGATTTTTCTTTAAGAAAAAAGTTATTTCTAAACATGGGTCAATGCTTTATACTTTTGTCTAACTTAACCATTTTACTGTAATGTAGTATGAATCACTAACAAACAGTGTTATGTACCCTTAAAAAGTAAAATGAAAATTTCTTCTCCTGGGTTGACTTTATTCTGCAGGACTTGCCATCGACAACACAACCAAAAGGACGACAGGTGAATAGATATCCTCCATGGAAATTTTTGTAAACTTAGCTGCTAGTAAACATCCCTGCTTACCTTTTCCTCACTCATATTCTGTATGTGCTGGACTAAAACATTTAAGCTTGAAAAATTTGTTCCATTTTTTTCATTTTTCTTTTAACTCATTTGTTTGTAGCTAATTCAAAATACTTTTTTTTTTTTTCATGTGTCCACATGTGTGAGAGTTACAAATTCACTGAGAATTTAACTGGAGATGTTGATTTAGTTCAGAATGCATTAATAGACTTCCTGTTGTGCAGTGACCTGTTCAGGTTTTAATCTTAGAGGAAAGCTGAAATTTCTATTTTAGCTGGAATGGAGACAAGTAGGGCAGGTGTCTAAAACTCTAAAATATTGTGCTGACAGAGATTGTAAAGCTTGAGTTTATCTGAAACTAATTATTAACATTAGCAAAGTTTTTCAAAGAAAAATATTAAGGATAGTTTCTGTTAGGGCTTGATAAATCTGAAGATGGTCTCTTAAAATTTCAGTCCTTAGTCCCATTTTCAGTACCCTCCATTAACTTTTTTACCTTGACCTGGTGGTTGTGCAAATCAGCGGAGACCAAGGAATGATCTTCCCTCTCCAGAAAATTCCAAGAAAGCATGTGGGGCTTGTCAGAAGATTCCCTGTCTTTCTTTTTGCAATTTTAAGAATTTTTGTTCTTTTTCTGCAGCCTCCAAATGAGCACATACCATGAAGTGATTTGTGATTCATCTCCCGTAACTGCTCCAGTTATTTATAGTCTTTCCAGAATCTACCTCTGAATTTTTAACCGTGTACTCAGCCTCCTTCTCTACCAGGACTTTTTATAATAGCTCTTGCAATTCCATTCAAGAAGTCAATCAGCTACATTAACTCTTGTCTCTGAGAATTTTTTTATATTGCTGTCTGGTTGAGTTGGCTGGAACTTCTATCACAAGAATGGTTTGCTCTTACTTCACTTCCCATTTTTTTAAAGCTCTCTATGGTTCTTTCAACTTTCCATTTTCTTCTGCAGCTGCCTGAATGTAAACCTGGAGAGGCTCCATGCAATACCTTCCAGACATTTATATTAGGTTTTCATTTGCTCCTCATGGGTTTTTTTTTTTCCCAGAAGAAAAAACTTTGTTCAAGGCAATATCAAAATAATGGTGTTTTTCTTACTCACACCATTTATAATTACATTATTTTTTCAATTTTTACCTGATTTTTCCCATTGAACCACCATATTTTTCTTGTCATCCTTGAAACCAGTGAGGGCTTGGCTAATGGATATATTTTTATGTGTCAGGAAGTCTGTAATGTTCCACGAGCTGCCAGTATATGGTGGATAATGGCTCAAACTGGAGCAGGGACTTGAAAAGCAGGGAAGTTTCTAGATAGTAAAAATACTGCTGATGTTTTTAGACCTGTATGAATAAGCTTCAGGCAAAATAAGGGATTGGCTCAATATTGATTACTGCATGAAAAACAAATTACTAAGTAAACATAATTGGTTTCAAAATATCCTATTTCTCAAGTAATTAAAGTAAGTTGGGTTGCTTTTTTTAAACTCAGTGCACAACAGAGCAAGGGTCAGATTTAATGTATTAAAAATTGAGTTCTGTATTGGTCTTATCATCTGATGCTCTCACTGCAAACCAATAAAAATACATCAGATACAAGAGAAAAGTGATTAGCCATTTTAAGTTAATTTATTCAGTGTTGAGGTGCAGATTGGATTACTTTTTTAAGTGCCATGAATGGTGCTAACACTGCACAAGTTACAGCTATTACTGGAGCAGGGTTTGAGCAGAGGTGAAAAGTGACTGTTACAGTTTCTAAGAATATTACTTTGCAATGTAATTGTTGGGGATTTTTAAAGCCTAGTCCATTTTTAGTAAGAAAATCAGCAGTAAATGTATACAAGGCTGGCTGAGATGCTGCAGGGTGATGTTGGAAGTTCATGAACTGAAGTTAGAAATTATCCATCTAGGGCATGGCACTTAATTTTGGTTTTGAGTTCCTTGGGTGCATCAGGGCTCCAATTAGCAACCAAAACTGGGTATCACTTTTATTTTTATTTTCTAGAGTTGAGACCTCAGTAACACACAAGGAAAGGATTGGTATCATCTTTTAAATTGTGAAGTCAGAGTCTGGATTCTTTCTGTTCATGTTCTTTAGAGAATAGCTTGCTCAAATCGTGAGTTCTATTTACATAGGAGCAGACTTTTACTGAAAAACCCATACAGAGAATTCCCACATTCCTCCTGAGTAACTCTGTGGTAGGAGCAATACAGGACTTCCTGAAAAATATATTTTTTAATGTCTTAAATCTTAAAACTTCTTATTCTAAAGATCACTAATAAAGCCAAAGTCCTTTATAGCATCCAGTAAAATTTCCTGTCACAGAAAGTTTTAAAACATACCATGGGACTTCTGTTGGAAAATACATTACAGTTTGAGTTGTAAGGTGCTGGTTTTTGTTCTGGGATGATTTGTGGATAGTTAATAACTGTTTGAGGGACTCCATGAGTTTATTACATTTTTGCTGTTCAGGTTCTATAGAATGTAGAAAACATGAGCTTTTGAAATAACATCATATGTCTCCATCATTTGCTGGAGGGGGCATTTTCATTTTCAACTATCACTTATGCTTTGGCACCTTCCTTTTTATTTCTTTCTTTGCTTGTTGCAACCAATGTGTGTAGCTGCATTCACAGATCAGATTTCACCTGTTACTCTGAATACTCTGAATAGCAGTGATGATACTGCAGTGTCTCTTATAAACTCTTCTTTTTCTAGATCTATGTAAGAGCACAATTTGAATATGATCCAGCAAAGGATGACCTCATTCCTTGCAAAGAAGCTGGCATCAGATTCCGAGTTGGTGATATTATCCAAATCATTAGCAAAGATGATCATAACTGGTGGCAGGGTAAACTTGAGAACTCCAAAAATGGTACTGCAGGTCTTATTCCTTCTCCTGAACTTCAGGAATGGTATGACTTAAGTTTTCTATAAAAATGAATTTAGTTTTGATTTTATTTCTGTCTTTCATACTTTTCATTGTTGGATAGCTAGCCTTTGAATTATTTTCTCTTTTTCTTTGGTTTTTTTTTTCCCCCTAAGTCTATATATTCATTCAGTTTGAGTGGTATTAATTTTTTTCTCATGTATGCATAGCAGTAAGGGTTACCTGCAATTTCATACGTGTCATTACATTAAAAAAATAAATTCCTGTGTTAATAAACATTGTGCTTTCTAGTATACTGTAGGAAACTAGGATTGAGGATGGCTACATGCAAATTGGTTATATAAGAGGGTCAAATTAATTTCTCTTTCAGCTTCTAATCAGGGGTTTCATTAGTACTGTGTACGTGCAAGTGCTGCAGGAATAGGGTTTTAGCAAGTTGTCAGGCAAAAAGGTCATTGAGGGAGTTTTAGGGTTTTCTTTCCTTTTCATTTTTCATATGAATGTTAAAAGCAGAACAAAATCACAGTGCCAGTGGCAGGTTCAATGAACAGCAGTGGCACTGAACAATGCAGAGCCTTTAAACAACCTCTTGCATGAGCTGTTGATAAAAAATTTTAAATGGATCAGCGCAAATCCTGGGCCTTGGAAGGTGTGGCCATAACTCAGTAAAGTTTAGATAGTCCAGCCCAAAATGCTTCATCCAGGATTTGCTATGTAAAAGAGCTGGAGTAGTGCTCTGCTCCAGGATAAGGGAGATTTTGGCAGAAGAGGGACAGACAAGAGGCAGACAAGACCTTTAGTTCCATGTCCTGAGCCTTGTGCCAGCCCTGTGTAAGGGAGGCACAATCCCCATTGCAGCAGGGTCCCTTGCAGTGCTCCACCCTAGAGATCAGTTCCAGACAGTCCTCCAGCACAGCACCACTTGCTCTGCAGGAATTTAGACCATGGTGGTCATTCCAGACCTTGTGCTTTTCCCTTCTGGTCTGCTGCAGAGTGGTCTGGATTCATCCCAGGAGCTGCCCTTCCTCCCATGCTCGCTTCATCTGTGAGCTTCCATCATCTACCTCTAAGAAAATATTCTTACATCATAGTACCCCTGTATATATATTCTTTAAAGTCATTAAAAAAATGTTTTTAAAAGCTTTACTGTACTCATGTTCCATAAAAATGTCTTGCTTTTCTAAATGATTCTGTGCAGCTTTTTAAAGATCCTTGATTACAACAGAAAATGTTTTTTCTCCTCCTTATGTCAGGCGAGTTGCTTGTATTGCCATGGAGAAGACCAAACAGGAGCAACAGGCCAGCTGTACTTGGTTTGGAAAGAAAAAAAAGCAGTACAAAGACAAATACTTGGCAAAGCACAATGCAGGTATGAACAGAAAATGCAGGTATCTGTAACAGATTACATTCTTTGCAGTTTAAGCCTTGCCATTAATTGTTTAGCTGGCAGTATTATACAAACCTAATGAGTTACTTAGGAAAATATAAGGAAAATTCTAGTTATGCCAACATTACTCTGCTTGCTCTTTGCTATTTAAGCATGGAGCTTAGTCAGTGAGAGGCAAGCTGCCACAAAAGCAGTGCATCATAGTATATCCTGATAGAGGCTTAGATTGTTTGGGGTTTATGTGTAAAGCAGCATTAGAAACAAACAGGATACGATTTTTGCAACCTATATTGCTGTACTGTGCTCTACAACAGACTTTTCTGTAGCATCCTTGTTAATATGTATTTATAGTTACAGATTACATATGTGAAAACATCATGAAAGAGCATTTTTGTTGAAGTGGCACAGCTGGAAGTAGAATAAGAGCCATTGCATAGTCAGTGTGTTATTTACAGCTACCAAACAGAGCCAGCTGTGGAGGTTTATCCTCCTTGCAGTGATTTCTGCCTGAATCCTGAATTTGGGCTTCTGTTTGTGCCTGAATCCTGAGTTTGGGCTTCTCTTCTGAGTGCTGAAAAAATGAATTGTTTTAGAAAATTTTAAAAGTGTAGAATAAGAGATCCTTGTCAAGCAAAATTCATTAGTTTTAGTAGTAAAGAAGACAGACCCTGTCATTTATGAGCTGAATTTGCTTATTTTCTTCTTTTAATATAAAATACTTAATGTGCTGAAACTGCTTTTCAACACTTTTCTGTTGCTCCTGCTTTGGTAGCACATTCTGTGATGCTTATGTTGTTGTGGTCTCCTGAGAGACTTGCAGAGATTTTTATTAGAATCAGAATAGATACCTGTCCAAGCAGTGTAATGAAAGTATTCTATATTACATTAATTTCTAGGGGTTTTTTTTTCAGTTGCCTTCTTGAGCACAGTGATTAAACAATATAAATCCATATTTTCAGGTATTTCTCTTTACATGCACAATGTGTGCAGGATCAGAGCTCATAATGTGTCACTATTACAGAATATGTGTTTCCTTTAAAGTAATTTGGCAGTAAGAAAGCCTAAATTCTAAGACAGTAATTGTTATTTATACTCTTTAAATTCACTGTTGCATTTAAGATGTTCACAGGTGAATATAAAACTATTTGTTACCCTGAAAGCTTCCACAAGCAAAGATTGAAAGCTTTAAGTAGTAGGTTCCTTCCTTTTGCTGCTGTAACACCCTGCTTGTTCTAATGTTTCCCCCTCACTGCAGTAGCACTCAACCACATTTTAATAATTACAGCAAAAGCTGTTGAGAGTAAACTGGATTTTATGAGCCAAAGCCTTTCCCAGTACTGGTATCATCTGCTCCCAGCACACATTCTCACAGCCTTGCTCCTCCCTTCACTTGTGGCCATGCTGTGAACTGGATCAAGAACAACCCAAAAAAATAATTGTTTATCTTTAGGGCAGGTACATTTCTTAATGCATCTCTCAATGCAAATACAGAACTGAAAATGTCTTGTGAGTAGGCAAGGCCTGCTACAAGGGAGTGAGCTAGAGGAAGGACAGCCAGGGAAGGAGGAGAAGCAGGCAGTACTGCTAACCTAACCCTAACCCTAACCCTAACCCTAACCCTAACCCTAACCCTAACCCTAACCCTGAGCAGACCTAGCTCAGTGATTTTCTATCAGTTAAATTCCTGAAAGGAATGTGTACTTTGCAGTCTTGGCATAGGGGGACATTTTGGAGTAGGTTGATGGCACTTTGATTCACACAGTTCACCTGCCTTCACCAGCAGTGTTGTATCTTTATTTGCTTTATATCAGAGCAGGTGTTTGCCAAGAATTAGAAATACCAACGTTAAAAATTGTGATAATGACCATAAATGAAACTGTTCCCTTTAGAATGCAGCTTCCCCTTTCCCCTAAGTCAAAAAGTTAATGTAAGCACAGATTGAAATCAAGATTTCTTGTAGAAATGTTATTGATCTTCGTGTCCCTGAGGTACTGAAGGTAATGCCAGTAATATTCCAGGGAATGACACCAAATATAGAATATTCAATATTATGAATATTATGAATTGCTCTGGTGCTCGTGTGAGTTCAGGTTTAACTGAGGTGGCACTGAATTCACCAAATTCTCTGAAGTGCTGTGTCACATCCAGGATTGTTGGTCAGAAATATGGCAGCACTGGCCCTTGCAGCCTTTCAGTGCTTCTGTTTCACAATAAAAACCAGATCTTTTCTTCTGCTGGATCCAAAACAAGTGTAATCATTGTCAAAATGTTGCTCTTACAGGAAAGTAGAATTTATTTCTCTTCTATTCAAGTATAAAACTAAAGAAATTGATCAGCAGTCTGTAATCTATTTGGACTTGTGTGTTATTTTTCTCTTAGGGGTGAGACTGGTCTGGGGTGCTGAGAAATGACCCAGTAAAATAATTCATAGTAAACTCAGATTTGTGTGGCCAGCTGATGATTTGAGAGCTGGTGTGGCATATTGGGATATTACTGGAAGTAGAATTGAGATTATTCTGCAAATCAGACATAGTTTATGAAGTAAACAGGAGATTATTTCAGTTACCTTTTAGAATTAGAAGCAAATACATTCTCCTTTGCAAGAAAAATGTAATCCTGTTGTTCTTTCCTCCATGCTTCATATTAGAGTATCAGGCAATTTCATGATCATATGTTTTATCGGTATAAAATCAGTTTTAAACCAAAGCCCACAGAAAAAATGAAATATCTTTTCCATTATTAGATTCACTGACATTTTTATAAATGCTCTAGAGATATGCTGCAGTGATATCCAGATACATTTTTCATTTATTTTGCTGAAAAGTTATTGCAGGGCTTCAGAAAAGAGGAGAACATTCCAGAACTATGCTCGATATTATGCATAATGTAGAAAATTGCCAAGCTTTTATAAAATATGTTTATCATTTCTTAATGTGATTTATTTGCCTTGTGTTTAGACTATTGCATGGTAAAGTTTATTTTGTGCATATACTTTTTATTTTACTAATATATTACAAGCCATATCTCAATGACCCCTGTACATTTTTCATGCTGTCTTACTCCCAATGGCCTCTGTGCATGTAAGTAACCTGTCAAGTGACAATGCCTCTTTATTTGCTTCTTACTGTTTCCTTTCAAGAACTCCTTTTCTTTTATCAGCTAGTAACACAGAAGCATTGAAGTTCAGTCTTTAGTGTGCCCTGTATTCCTCCTATCTTTGTATATTAAGAAATTAATCATTTTTCTTTTGCATTTGAGAACCCCACAATCATTAGTTAAATCCATGTAGACTGAGACACATTTTCTCCATGCTACTACTTTGTGATGAAGGCATTAATATGTGTCACTTCTGGTGTTTGTTCCTGTTGTTTGTATCTAACATAACATGGCTTTGTTCAAGAAGAAAATAAAGGATTGATTTCTTTTTGAATTATTATTTTTCAATGGAAAAAGACACTTGCAGGCTTAGGTGGTTAGCATGGTAAAGCTGTTTAATGTGTTGTAGATCATTATTATGAAATGAATTACTGATTTGTTTAAATAATGTGAAGTTGCAAAAAGGACAAGAGTAATAATTCCATTGTGGAATGAAAGAAAAATATTACTAAATTCTTGCTTGTAGTATTTGGGGAAAGGTTGAAAGAGATTCTTCTTTAGGATGAAATTCAAAATGCTTCAAATGGACTAGGAAGTTTTCCTATCTGTATCTTTTCAAGGCCTTAAAGAGTTGGGTGTGTCAATTGGTTGATTTGTGTAGCTTCACCAAATTGAAGCCATTGGACTTTCTCAGGTGAAAAGACTGCCATCAAATTGAAAAACTGAGAGATAGCCACACTCATCCTAAAAGATGGATTGGATATAGCTGAGGTGGATACACCACTTAAGCCTTGGAAACACTCAGAGAGAGATTCCATAGTTTGGATGGAGTCTTTCCTGCCTCCTTTTCATAGTGTGCAGAAATACAGAACTGAAAACTCTTGTTCGTTATTCTGCTCCACAATTGCTGGTTGCTGCAATCTTTACAAATAGAAATAACTGCCTCCTGCCTGCTTCTGTCATTAGAATTCAGCAGGAGTTACCAGAGATGATGTGTTGCTGGGCACAGGAGGAATAAGCTGTTATTAATGAACAAAACTTGATTTGTCAATCACTATATTCCCTGGCAATTGACAACAGATTCATAGGCATGCTGGAATTCATCCAATTTCAGCTGCAGTTGAAATGATTTCTGAAATAATACTTTTACAATTTTTCCCTAAATATGGTGGAGGTTCTTTTCTGTAATGCCATCACTTCTCATTAGAATTCTTCATTCTTTCACAAGTTTTAAAAGCATGTCAGTTTAATTAGCACGTGTGTTTAAAGAGAACTCTAATTACAAGTAAGTGGTATGGTTTGAAAGAATAAATACCACAAAGTATTAACACTGTGCATTTCTCATAGATCTTGTTAAAACATTATTATGAAAGTATCCCTATCTTCAGTGTAAATAGATGTTCTCATATTGTATTCATGTCGGTCACTGTCCACAATTTTTTCTTTAGTATTGCTATTTCTCAGGAATGCAAACGTGAATGGCATGCTGTTCTAGCTGATTTTTGTGGTCTGCTGAACACTGCATGAAAGGACATGCAAACTTTGCTGAGCATCTCAGTAGCTTTGTTACTGCTCTTTACAGTTTCTTAAATGAACACTCTTGTTAAAATTGCATAAGGAATGAATGGTTTTATTTTCCATAACATGTTACTTTGTATTATAAATCTAAATCTTGATAAAATTTTAATTTGTAGCAGAATTAGTTGTCACCCTTCATATTGCCTTTTTTTTCTTATCCTTTGGGGCTTTCTTTTGTGTTTTAGTGTTTGATCAATTAGATCTCGTCACATATGAAGAAGTAGTAAAGCTGCCAGCATTCAAAAGGAAAACACTAGTCCTACTAGGTAATTTTCAATTACTTTTCTGAACATAGCATCATAGCTTTGAAGCCTTTCTGGTGGAATATTTCTTAAATTATTTTTTGTGTTGTGGCTCAGGTGCCCACGGTGTGGGAAGAAGACACATAAAAAACACGCTCATCACAAAACACCCGGACAGATTTGCTTACCCCATTCCTCGTAAGTAGCAGGGCTCAATGTGCTGCAGAATTGTTTGTGTCCTCCTTGGCAACACCCTCCTGCTTCTACTGCCTGTGTTCAGCTCAGCTGAGACAAATCCTGCCTTGAAGGTGGGAGCTGTGTAGGATTGGGTCTGGTTCTTTTGCTTTTGCAGAGGGCAGGGTGGAAAGTAACACCATTTTTGCATCAAATATTCCTTACTGTTGACAAAACTTCTTGTTAAACCTACTTCTCTCTACCCCAAATTTGTGTTAATTTAGAATGAAGGATAAAAGTTTTCTCATTTTTAACTGTATCATTCCCATGAGAAGAAGTATGAGCTGGATTTAGAGGGAACCTGTAGTGTTTTAATTACTTCACACAGCCAAGTCTTAAGGACTGGTATTGCACTAAAATAGTTCCAGGTTTCCAGAAAACACAATTAATTTCCCTGCTTGCCAGTGGGTTGTTATGAAGAGCACAGAGGTGTTTTCCCTTCATGACAATCTCTATGAATACCCTGCAGGAACTGCAGATCCCATTTCATGATCTCTTGGAGATGCATCCTTTGTCCTCAAGCTGAGCACACCAAAACAAGAGCATCCAGCCCCTACCTGTCCACTCTATTTCAGACTGACCTCAGAAATGCCATACATGGCTCACAAGTGACATTCATTTAATTTTCTTCACAGAAAGTAGTGATTTTATCTGCAGATGCTTTTAAAATGGACTCACCTATTACCATGGTGAGCATGCCTTAGGTTGCCTGCATTAGGTTCCTGCTCTGTGGAGTCTCTGAAATTGTTTCACTGATTTTATAAGACAAGATGCATTTTCTGCATCCCTTTACAAAACCATGGTGTAGTAGGTAACTTTTGAGATGGGCCTTAAATTGGGTGAGGAGTTTAGAAGAATGTTTTATGAAGAAATTACCTGCATACTGAAAACCAGATCAAAAATATCAGGTCAGGCACAATGGCAGTTAATTGTGAAGATTAGTAGTCCATGCTTCTCTTACCACAAGTCTGTAGAAGCAATTTTCAAAAAGTATGTTATTCCTTAGGAGCTTTTACTTCTCTTGACCACAGGTAATCAGGTTTTTAAACAGTTTTTTAGACTTATCCTTTTCTCACTCATAAGAACCTCATAAAAATTTTTAAAAAAAGGAAAAAGCAGAAATGTTTTTGGGACAGAAGGGGATTTAGGAAAAATATGAGTATCTTAAGTTCAGTAGACCCTAGGGACTCCACTGCTGCTTTTTCCAACACATATCCCTCAAACTCCTGCTCTTCCCAGTGCCTGTCATTGTGACTGCCTCATCCTTCATTGCTCTGTGTGTGATCTGACAGGTTCAGTTCAGTGGATAAGCATTGATAAACAAACAGAAAAAAGAAGCCACATATAACGTTAATATTGCTCCTGTACTAAAATATTTTGTTTTTTCAGACACAACCAGACCTCCAAAGAAAGATGAAGAAAATGGCAAAAATTACTACTTTGTATCACATGACCAAATGATGCAGGATATATCAAACAATGAATATTTGGAATATGGCAGCCATGAGGATGCAATGTATGGGACAAAACTGGAAACAATACGAAAGATCCATGAGCAGGGACTAATTGCAATACTTGATGTAGAACCTCAGGTAACTAATTAGAAGTGTATAAAAATGGGACTCATCACAAATCCTTCAACCTTGTTTCATTGAAATGTTTTTATTGATTGCACACTAGGTAAGTGCTGCATAAAGTGATGTGAAACAAAAGTCCTTGAACCACCAGGATATCAATCTGGAATTCTGGTAATCATATGGTTAGAAGAACACAGAGGAGAAAGAAAAAACAGGCTCTGAAGAAACACTAATAGTTTATTTATTCATTGTAGAAAATCTGTGGAAAATTCTGATACATTTCATTTGAAACATCTGTGCAGTCATTACTTTCAATTCACAGGGATCTGTTTATATGTTTTGTTAAATGAAACAACATGAATATAGACAATTGTGATGTTCATATTATTCTAGCAGATGGAAGGAAATGGGAGGAAGGACAAAATTGTGACCGGGGTTATCTACTTAAATTTGCTGACTTGTTTCTTCTTTGTAAATGGATTCAGGAAGTTCAGATTTTTCTAAGAATTTCACAACAGAAATGAGATACCTGACTAAATTATTTTAAGAGAGTTCAGAGTATGATGGTGTGGTGGTGTTCTTAGAAATAAAATCCCACATTTAACAGCATTCAGGGAGAGCAGCATTTATAATTAGTTCAAATGGAGCAGCTGTTAACAGCAAACTCTTTTGATAAACTTTTTCAATATGCATTATTCAAGAGCTGTACAATTCTCAGAAGAGATTTTAATCTTTGTTGGAATATATTTATATTTGGTGACTGCTGCCTTTGCCACATTTCCTCCAGCTCATGTCCAGCAAGCCACTTTACAACCCAGCTTCCTCATTCATCCATCTCAGCTCATTGAGGCCAACCTGTTTGTGGATTTATTCCTGGTTCTCTTACACCCCTTGCCTGTTCTCCCTTGGGCACTCCTATGGATTTTCTTGCATTTCAGTTATGGGGTTTGTCTCTTGTTTGGAGCAGGTTGGGAGAGGTGAATTCCTGTTGGTGGCAGCAGAGATGAAAACCTTTTAGCTCAGGAGAGGGTGGATTATGGGTTGTTTGTTTGGGGTTTTTTTGTTGTTTTTTTTTTGTTTTTTTTTGTTTGTTTGTTTGTTTTTTGGGTTTTTTTTTGTTTGTTTGGGGGTTTTTTTGTTGTTTTTTTTTGGTTTTTTTGTTTTTTTGGTTTTTTTTGGTTTTTTTTGGTTTGTTTTTTTTTTTTTTGTTTTTTTTTTTTTTTTTTTTTTTTTGTTGTTGTTGTTGTTGGTTTCTTTAAAAAGAAAAGGCTTTGGAGAAGACAGGAAATCAAAAGACCAAACCCAGAGTGGCCTTTAGCAGTCTGACTTTATCTTGTCCATCCCTTTGAGTTCAGCTGAGGTGTTTACCCCAGTGTCCTGCACGTCAGTCCAGCCCAGGTCTGTGACAGAGTGTCACACATGGCAGCTCTGTGTCACTCAGTTCATTAAGGCAACTCTTTAATGAGAACTCTGCTCTTTTGCACAGATTTGGTTCAGGAGATTGGAGCTGTATTTATTGCATTTAGTGCTATGCTCAGTTTTTAAACACTTCAAACTTCTCACATCGCATTTCTTTTTTTTTTAAATAATAATTTTATAATAATAAAATTTATACTGTAATCGATATTCTGATACACAGTTGGCTCTTTTCCCTATTTATAGTATAGCTGATTTTTTTTACATGGTATTTCATCAGTCAGTTTAAATGTAAACAGAATTCCACATTCTTTGAGAGTGGGGAGAGGCAGTCTGAAAATACTAAAGCTTTTACTGTCTCATAAACTCACTTTAATTAAGGATAAATACATGTTTTGACCACCAAAAATATAAAATAATAGAAAAAGTTAGGTACCTGTATTACTAAGGTCTTGACTCCAACTCAGTTAAACCAAATCCAGCATTGGTAGATCATGAATTTGTGTCTTTTGCTTGTGTGACTAAACTTACTTCACATTGATTGTTGGAGATTTCCTCTAAAGTATCTGATTTTTTTTTTCCCCCTAGGCATTGAAGGTCCTGAGAACTGCAGAGTTTGCTCCTTTTGTTGTTTTTATTGCTGCACCTACGATTACCCCAGGCATTAATGAGGTATGGCACGTGTCAATCTGATGTCCTGGCAGAGACAGAATTAAGGATGAGGTTCAAATGTGCAAATCAGACTCTTCAATTGTTTCCTTGTTTGTAAATGAAGAGGCAGAAAAATAATTGAATAAGGGCTTTATTAAGTTGATTGGCATACATTTATTGTTTATGAACTGATAATTCAAAATGTGGGCTTCAAGAGGAAGGATCCATGTGCTGTATGCTAAAAGTACATTTCTTATATTTCATTCCCTGCTCCAGCTCAAAGATCCATTTCCAAATCATTGGCACAAATTACTCAATTGTGAGTTGCAATGCCAGCACTGATCCCACCTTTATCTTTAGCATTTTCCCTGCACAGCAAATAAGTATCAGAAATAGGCTTTGTTCATTTTGTCAGCTGCCCTCTAAGAACTGGAATCTTTGACCCCAGGGGTAATTGCTTGTGGAATGATGCTAAGTATTCATGGAAGTCCACATCATTCATTTCCTACTTAGTTTTTATAGGGTATCTGCTCTTGCTGCTCATTTCAAGGATACCAAGCAATTCTGGATTTAGCTGACACTAACACAAACTCCGTTTTCACAAACACCTTCCTTAAACCATGGTATTAAAGTATTTAATCTGTTGGATTTGATCATGAATCTGTTCCAAATATCCTAGGTGTCTCCTTGATCATCAAAACACTAAGTCAGAGGCCATGTCACTACAGCAGGTTTCTATAGAAATGTAATTCCAATATCATAAGCATGAAGCTGTGACATCACTGCAGAGGCTTGCAGGAAAGGAAAGAGCCAGACTTGCACATTTAAATGCAAATAACCTGCATGATTATTCAAACCAAAAGTGGAAAGTGAAGAATTTTGGCCTCAAGCTGGAATTTTACTGACAGCTGAGGCATTCTGCTAGTTCACTAAGATGCTTTAGTGAGCTACTTTAGATCTCAATTGGAGTTTTGTTAGTTTTTAAGCACCGGTGCTAGAACAAGCAGTGAAAGAGGGACAGGAGGGGGAAGATGGCTCTGTTCCCTTTCACAGCATTAAGTCATGTCATTTCACTGTGTCTTAGGGACCCACACCCTCATGGTACAACCCAAGAGTGTAAAAACAAAGATCTCTCAGCACAGCCCAGCTTGCCATGTTAGTGAAGTGACACTTCATGTAACTGCTGGTGTGATGCTGGGAATCAGTACAAGCTGGATAAAATACTAGAATTTTGTCATCTACACTGAATTTTCTTTGTGTAAACAAATAGCATTGCATCAGGTGCCCTGTAAAATTCACAAATGCTCAGGCTTGTTGCCTCCATACCTGCCTCAGCTCCCAGATAGTCTCTCCTTGGCCTCACTCATTTGCCAGTGGTACTTAAATTTTAATCTTCCAGCTGTGGGATGTAATACAGAGATACTTGGGACAGTTCATGTGAGAGAGAAAACTTTTTCCCTCATCCACTGGGAAGAGAACAGAAATGTGCCTTTTATAGTAGTGGTGGGGAAGTACTTCATGCCAAAGAATTAGTAGAAGTGAAATACTGTGTTTGTGCTGTAAAACCTGTTTTAAGCCCCTGTGACAAAAGTCTCTGTGCCCACAGGGTTTCACCCAGGCACATTAATTGGTGAGCCAAGGCCACACTTACAAAACATGCTAATTTAATTTAATTAATCAATTAAAACTAAGGAAAGGGAGGGGCAGGCAATGGTAATAGCAACAGCCCTTACCCACACACAGAATCCTGTTTTCCAAGGTTTTCTGGGCAGATAAGCAAAGTGTGTCTGTGTGTAGCAGCCTGCAGGGCAGCAAACAAGGGTGTAGAGTGTGTGTTTCCTATTTCCCATTCATGCTTCCTTTTTGAAAGGTTCATTTGCATAATGAGTGTCCCTTTCTGTTGATCCTCTTGCCCTGCCTTGTTTTATTTTACTTGCACTTTTTGAGAACACTTCTGTAATGACTGTCCTTTTTTCCCCTCCCCATGTTTTCTTAAAATTCATCTTTGCTTTTCTTTTCATTTTCCTGCATTCGTACTAATTGTACATAGCTGCCAAAATGGTGCAGAAAACTGCCTGTAAGTACCAGCTAGGGGATCACAAGGTAGCCCTGGTTATTGCAGTAGTTCTAGAATGTAGACATGCTTGTTCCCGTGCAACATTACTTTTGCCTTTGGAGTCGAAATTTAATATAATAATGACTTTTGATATCTGCACTAAAATTATCTGCTAGTGAAAAGAGAGGCCATGGAGTAAAAAATATATTCTTACAGATATATATCTGAACTCTGTGGTAAAACCAGTGCAGAGGCCTGATCCTGACAGTGTCTCTCTTGAGACACTTGATGATGCTGTCAAAGACCACACAAAATGTCTCAGTAACTGAGGCCCACACAGCAAGAATCAGGAGACAAAATATTGTCATTTCCAGTGGATGTAGCCATGCACCCTGAGCAGAGCTGCAAAGCACAAGAGCAATGTAAATCATACAGGGAATCTCCCAGAGTGCCCCCACCTGTCAAATCACAGAGGAAGTTTAAATCTGATGGTTGTTGTGCTAAAACAGAGGAGAGAGTGCATCAGAAAACCTTGGGGTGGTTCCTCTTTCCTCCAGCTGTTCCTACCTCCTTTGCCCAGACAGCAGCAAAGAGATCACAGGCTCCATTTGTTTGATGTAAACCTTTTGGAGCCAAATTCTTCAGACTTTTAGCTGTGCTTCCTCCCTTCCTACAGCCAAACAATAAAAGGAATTTTTCTTAGTAAGTGTGGAGCCCACCAGCTGTTTAAATTGTAAATTTCTTTCTCTTGAAGCAAAACTGGCAAAGGCCTGATGGTGTTTACACCTTGTCCACAGCCTTAGAAGGGAATATTAGTAATTTTTTGGGCTGGGCTTTGATTGCCACAAGTGGCAGCTGTTCTTTGTATTTTCAGGCCAAAACAACCCAGTCCTCAGAGACTGCAGGTGCCACTGGTGGCTTTTATGTACATGAGTATTTCATTAATAAAGCCATGTTTAACTCCTTTCAGCTGTGGTGGAAAAGGAGAGATTATGAAAGTGAATTGAATTAGAAAGAAAAAGTCTGATCCAGTAATGGACACACTGCAACTAGACCACCTAAAATTCCTATTGCACAAGAGCTGAGGGAAGAAGGAAGTGCAGATGTTGTGCTCCCAAATGTTAATTTCTGAAGCTGTGGCCATTCATCTTTCTGCAGCTCACTGAACATTTCGATAAATATCTTTTTTCTTGACACTATTGACAGCACAACTGCTGAAGAATTTCCTTCTTGGAACATAAGCTGGGATGTTCAGTATGCAAAATTTAATTAAGACATTTTAGAGAAATTGAGAGGAACTTACTACAGCAAATACTTTGATTACAGCTAGCTTCAAAGATGAATTTTGGTATTTAAGTCTTGCAGACTCAGAGAAAACAGCCAAGTCTGACATGCACAAATAGATACTCTATCACAAACACAGGTGAAAGTTAGTCCCAAAATGAAACAAAAATCAAGAGCTTTGTCTCTTTTCCTTTTGCTGAGCTTAGGAAAGTTTGAACCTATGTGAAACTTATGGCAATGGCTTATCCCAAACTTACCACTACCCATTAAAGTATATGAAAGAAGTAATGTATTACATTTCCAGCAGGCTGGGAAATTTACATATTCCAAAATAAAGACCACTTTGATTGCAGTAGAGTTGGATCTAGGAGAAGCAAAGTCAGAAAAATCCTGAAATTTAATGAATTTTTGAAAGACTTAGTTTAGTGGAACCTGTGTGAGCAATGTAAAGTTTACCAGCTCACTTTTTTTAAGATGAGCTGTGAGATTTTCAGATTTTCATTGTTAGTCACAGTAGGATAGATGCTGTAGTGAGAAAAGTCCGTATCTGTAGGTAAAAGTAACATTGATGGGAAATCTGAATAATAATTCAAAATCTGCATAAGAACTTAACAGCTCTGAGGCTTCCAGGGGCTTCTCAGGTACTTTTAGCCCTGTGTCATGAGATCAAAAGTCTTTTCAAGGTGCACTATGATTTGGACAAGACAGACTATAAATACAAAATTAATCTTAGCTAGATACATTTAAAGCATTTAAAATAGTCTGCATGACAAGTTATTGACCTTCCTTTGTAGGTTAATTTAAGCAGGAAAGGTTTGATGCTCAGCTGATACAAATTGATGTCTCTTTTGGAATCTCTGAGAAGTTGGAAGTTCACCTGACTAGGATTTTGGCTTAAAGACACTGGGCCATATGAAATAGTCCACAAAAATAATTAATACTAGTGTTAATCCACATTGTTCTCCTTTTTAATAGCATAAATTAAATTTGGACACACTGGAATTTTCTACAGAAGTTCCAGGAGTAGTTGCTGGTGGTGCATAATGGCCCATACAGGGAACATCCCTTGTATAGAAATGCAGGTGAGGAGTATTTGCCTGACTTGGAAGGAAATTTGTAATAATTTTCAATAATTTTCAAGTGAAGAGAAGCACACCACACAGCCCCCTCCCCATGTGAGGCTGCAGCTTCAGGAGAGAAGCAGAACTGTAACTCTGGCAGAGAACTTCTCCTCCAGAAGTGGCTGGTTTCATTGCTGCAGGGAAGGAGAACTGTCTCAGAGCAGGTTGTTTCCTTGAGGGGACCTGAAAGCTCTTGTTCCACAGCTACTTGCCACTGTAATTACAAATACTTGGGAAACTGAAACAGAAAAAAAATATAAAGGTGAAGGTCATCTTAACAGCTGGATAAAAATCTGTTTCCAGAATAATTTCTAGTGACAAAGCTGTGGGCACTGTGTCTGTACTTCTGCAGCCTAAACCTCTGTTTAGCAAAGTGTATCCCAGCTGATTGATCAAGTAGAGTCAGCCTATGGATGCTGCAGAGCAGCAGGAGTCACTTTGCACCAAATCCACCCCAAACCTGTGGGACAGGAAAGACTTAATTGCTTTCCTGTGACTATTTCAAGGTTCCTGAAAACAGCAAATGGGTTTGCTGGGTTTTTTTTTAATTCATAAGGCAATTTGCAGGAAGAGAATTCGCACTTACAATTGCTGCAGAGCCATGGGAAGAAGCCTTTTGCATCCAGCTGCCTCAGGCAGGCAGACCTTGCTAACAAAGGTCTGATGTCCAGGGTGCCTGGTTCACCTCCAGCATCTCCCTCTGAGAGGGGCTGGAAATGCCCTGCTCTGAGACAGAAACCACAGAGCAGTGATGTGGAGTGAGAACTTCCTCATCAGTAAATTGTCATTGAAGGAAGCAGACCCAGAGGATTGGTGTGGAACAGAAAACATTACCAAAAGTGGGAACAGCTGATTCCTGACAGCCTCTCCCCCTCCTCCTGTTTCTCACATTCTCACTGGGACATAGGCCCAGTAGTTCTTACTTGTGCACCAGGTCTGATTTATTCACATGTGGTCTCCATTGCTGCTTTTCCAAGCTTTCATCCTCTACCTTGCTTTTTTAACTCTAGAGCTGTGTTTGTCTCCCAGAATGTCAATAACCGAGTGCTGTTTGAGTGTCAGCTTCCATTGGGAGCTGTGCCCTTTCTCCCATGTGATTCCCATAGCTGTAGGTGGGAGAGCTAAAGCACCTCAGCTCCCTGAGGCCTTTTTGCCCGTTTCCTTCTCAGCTGAGGAGCTCTTGTGGGAGAGCATGAAAGAATCAAAAGAATCCAACTTTTGTTTTCTCCGTTTTCTCTCCCGGCCGCCGCACAGGATGAATCCCTTCAGCGCCTGCAGAAGGAGTCTGAGATCCTACAGAGAACATATGCACACTACTTTGACCTAACAATTATCAACAATGAGATTGATGAAACCATCAGGCACCTGGAGGAAGCCATCGAGCTCGTGTGTACAGCCTCCCAGTGGGTCCCGGTCTCCTGGGTCTACTAGACCAGGAATGAGAGAATTGAGGGAAAAAAAAAAAAACCTGTCATTACTGGGAACCACCTCATACATGGAAAACCTCTTCGTTATTGACCTTGTGTCAACAGGTCTTGGCCCCTAGAGACTACCTAGATGTAGTGTGACCTAAAATATAATTATTGTCATGTCCGAATAGATAGGAGGAGGGGGAAAAAAAGATGAAACACTAATTTAAAGAGACAGTATCTTTTTTTTAATCATTTCTCCTAAACTTTAATAAAATGTATCTTTAAATGTATGTACTATTCAGTCTTTTGGAATGTTATATTTTTGGAAATCATAGCTTTTTATTTCAAGGGCCCCTAAAAACTGCACAAAATAGATGCTGCTTTCTATAATCTATTTTAATAGTAATAATAATATGATTCTGTTACCTTAACTTGGGGGTGGAACACTACATTCTTTTTAGAGTCTGATTTTATGGATTGGAATACTTTGCTTTCCTTTATTTATTTGAAGTAATTAGTCTAGTGGTTACAAAACAAATTCATAAATTTTAAAGGCCTTTTTTTTTTCCATGTTTTTTTTTTTTTTTCTCTCCTAGGCTAGTATTTTTAAGTACTTTTTTGTGTAACATCCAGATAATGTGATACTGTCTCTTTGAAGAACTCTGTAAAAGTTTTAGAAATTTGAAATTGGGTCTTGACTCTTAATGCATGTGGACAGTCGCAAGCGTTCATGCCGTTGGTGTATCTGTGTTGATAAAACCTGTAATCTACAGCAAAGTACATTCCGTTCATGGGAACACGTACCCAAGGGAATAAAGCAAAATATTATTCTGACTAAGTTGTAAACCTATGCACATCCCTTGCATTTTGGGCAACTTTCTAAAAAAAAAGAAAAAAAAAAAAGAAAAACTGATTTTTATTAATAATAATCATGTAGTGAAATGTGTTTGTAATTTTGTCTCAATTTAATTTGTTGTAAGGTGGGAGGGGGCAATTACTGGTTTCACCATTTCAGATCTGTGTTGTCTGAGAGTATTAACGTTTTAATTAAGTTGAAGCAAAGAAATGCTGATTTTTAATATGTATGTAATTGTTTAAAGATGCACACATTTTAAAAGAAAATACTGTGCAATGAAGAAACCAGTTTAGACATTGCGATAAACTGACTATTCCAAAAGACTCATCTACAACAGCCCTGTAAATTCCTTTAAAAATGGTAATTGACTCTACAGTCTGACCAATTTTTTTTTATTTTAAATATACTTCCTTTTATGTGTTCAACAATTAAATGCTTTTGGGTCCTTCATTTCATCACAGGGAGTTTCAAGAGCAAATCAGTGACTCGTGCAGTGGGGAAAAGTGTCTTTAAGGGAAGCCTTTGTAGGAGCACAGCTTGCAGTCTGTCCCAGGGGCTCTGCTCCTCCTGGATCAGCACAAAGCTGGAATTAGGGCAGAGCCAACTGAGAAAGTGTAACCATGGATGGACCTGGCACTTCATTTTCCTTCTTGGTGCCCTTGCTGGCCCACATGATCTGAATTCTCTCTGAAAATGGCTAAAGGCAGCAGGCATTGCCACCTCTTTTTAGGTGTCAGAAGCACACTGTTCCTTAAAATTACTTCTCCTCAACGTTTGGTTGGCTGTGCTGTTGTACAATAAGAATTTTAGTGTTCATATTTAAATGATACAGCGATACAGGATTTTTCCTCACAGTGGAACTTGCAGCTGGAGTTGGTCTGTGGGCTGTTCCAGTTGTTTGGGACCATTGCATGTGCAATCAGAAAAGGGTTCTCAAGGTTGAATCTTTCTCACAAGGGTAATCCTATTGCTAATTTTCTCCTGCCTACTCCTTCTGCAGGTTGGGTGGTCAAATATGTTTACAATTCTTGTAAAATCCACAGCTGCAATCTCAGTCTGGCTGTGCCTCCTCCCACCCAGCCAGGGCAGGCAGAGGTGTTTATTTCCTGCAGCATCCAGAGCCTGGCTTGCAGCCCACAGAAGGGAAGTTCATCCATCACTTTACCCCACCTGCTGAGTGCCCTTAGTGCCACAGCTGCAATCACAGTTCTGTGGCTGCATCCCAGAACAAGAGCTGCACCTGAATCCCTTGAGTTTGTGGTTTTGTGGCAAGGAAGGAATGAGAGAGTCACGTGGAGGGAAACAGGGGAGCTGTCAGAGGAGTTGTAGGTGCTCATCTGCTCTGGTTTAGCCCCACAAGGAGGGGATGGTGCAAACTGTGAACTATTCAGTGAGTAAGAGGTAATTTTTCAAGTAGCTGTGTTGTTTAGTCCTGGTGAAGCATAGCTGGTGTCCTGCAGGCAGCTGTTGCAGTGGTGAGTCCATGCTGGCTGAGCTCATGGAAGTGAAAGGGTTAATTCACTCTCAGAACTACCTCTTTTCCCAGCAAAGCACAAAGATGGGAAGACCTACTGAAAATCAAGCAGTGGAGTGTTTCTGATGTTAGAAATACAAACTTCTCTGGTGAGCATTGGTGTCTGACTTCAGTGACATGTTTTTCATCTCAAATGTTTATGGCATTAAACAGGTAAAGTAATTTTGATAATTCAAGTATAGTCCATCATAAATGTTTTAACTACACTTTTGACTCTGTTAATGTGAATTTTTTGGAGTTCTGTGTATCCAGCTCATAAGGAAAGAAATCTCACAAAGCCCATGAGGGTGCTTCTGCCTTATGTAGATGACAATAAGTAGTGATTTGATGTAATTAATACCTTTTCTTCTCTTAAGTGGAACTACCATTCAGTTAATGCTACACAGTAGAAAGATTGACCTGGAGAGCTTTGTTTCTTTTATTACTGTATAACCTTTTATCAAGAGACAAAAACTGTAAAGCACACGCTTAGCATCCTCTCTTGCCTCCTCTTTACCACAGTCTGTTTTCCTTGGAGCCTTCAGTAGCAAAAGATTAAATTGGAAACCCTGCCTAGGCTTTAAGTTCAGCAGATCCAAAGCATACAGTGAGCTCCACGAGCAGATTTCAGCACAGTCCCAGACAGAGCAAGCCCAGGACTCCTCAGTCTGTCCAGTCCTCCCACCCTGCTCAAACCCTTCTGAATGTTTCTGTTGTTTGTGTGGTACATAGAGGGCAAAATTCTGCAGAAATTGAGCTGGAAGCTTCACCTGCACGGGGAAGGCTCCTGCAGGTGCAAAGCTGGTGTTATAGTTTGTTGTTTTTTTCAGTCTCCAAGTGGAGAAGGGTCCTCCTGGTACTGTAAATATCACTGCATAATTTGGAGCACCACATGGACTTCTCTAAATTTATGCTGAATGTGACCTCAGAAGCAGCCCTGGGATTGGGAAGAAACAAATATTTCTGTTTGCCCCTTTTATACTTTATTTTTGTACAGGGGCTCATAGATTTGTAAAGAAAACTTGACCTTATCAGTATGCTGCCTCTCAGTCTGACTGATGCCTGTGATTTCAAGGTGTTAAGTTGGTCCAATAAATGTTCATTAACCTCTGCTTCCATTTACCTAATAAAAGTACACTAGGTTACTCAGTGTCTCAGAGTGGTAAGATTATTGCATGGAAATGGTAGCCTAGCTTAGACTCCTGGCCACTGCCTGATGGACATCCTTAATCTCATCACTAAACCCAAATTCTTCCACGTGTTCTAGCAGTGGTTTTCTTTTTCTATGGTTTGGTGAAGAACAATGTTGTGCCATTCACCTCTGAAAGCAAACACCACTACCTCCCTCAGAAACTTCATGAGGAAGGTTACTCAGTTGACTTTGAAAACACAACAAAGAAGAAGGGGTGTGGCAACCTGAGCAACATTGGGCTGGTGTGCATACTCCAAACCTGGGTACCAGAGCCACTAGGAAAAGTTAAAGCACAGACTAAGCAGTGTTTGTTCCATTTTTATTCTTTTCTATAAGGAAATTATTTCAGAGTGCTGTTACTTAATGAAATACTTGGAAATGCTGCCAGAGCTTCCAGGGTGCTTTGCAAATCTGCATTGAAATCCTAGATGCAAACAGTTCTGGCCCCATTCTCTTCCACTGCCAACAGTATTCAACAATTTTAATGAAGGCTGTTAGAGCTCAATTTTAGGCTTTAAAATACTTCATAGAAAATTATTTTTGAAAACTACAGAAAAATATATCTATTTCCTGACTATTATAGTAAAAAGTTACCTGTTTTTATAAGCTAAATTGACAGAGGATGAGCTAAAGCAGGCACCATAAAAAGTCTGGGTTTTTATGTAAAGTATATTAATTTCCTTAATAGACCTGTCTCCCACACTAATTTCTTCTCACCTTTAATGAGCTCAGAGATAGACATAACTCTTACCAAGGAAACTGCTGCACATTATGTCAAATAGTCACATATAAATCAAAATATCTGCACAACAGGAAGCATGTCATTGGCCAACAGAACAGAAGTAAATTCTGAATAATTGTGCTTCATGTGTACACCATGGGGACAAGTGCTCAGGCTTAGGATAGAAGAGACTGTTTTTACTAATGCTACACAAAAAAATATAAAGCCACTTCCCACTTGTAAATGTTTGCAGTGTTTTGGGGTTTTTTGCTTGCTGATACAGTAAGTGCACCTATAGTAATTTCTACTTTCTTCCCCTTAAGTGATTTTTAACAATCTCCTGCTTTAATCCTGTGAAAGCTGGACTGAAGCAAGTACAAAAAGCTTCTTGACTCCTTACAATTTAGCCTCAGAGTTAAGCCTCTTTCTCAGACCTGTACATGAATAAATAATTAATTCTTACCTCAGAAATACATTTCTCAGCTAAGATTTTGGGCAGAAAGTTGATGGCCTCTCAGGTAATATTAACCTTTCTAAGCAAAAATAGTGGGAGGGGGGAGTGTTCATGCATTTCCATGCATCCTGCTGGATCACTTAGCAACTACCATAGGACAACCAGGAACATTAAATCTTTAATAAGGCCACATCTCTGTGTTATTATTAAAATGTAGCTTGGGCCTCCATTGGTGTTGTGGAAGATAACTGAACTAGTAGCTGTATGCTTTAAAGAATTCATGGTGATCATAAGCAAAGTAATACTTGCAAATTCTCCCTTAGCAGCAGCCATAGCTTGCTTTAGTGTCTGCATAATGGAAACACCCATGAAGAAAGGTGGAATTTGCTCATTTTTAAGTGTAGCCCATCTCAAAACTGGAACATGAGTCAGTGTTTGTCCATTGTTGGCCATCCAGGTGGAGCACTCATCATTCTTCCCAAAATGTAAATAGATGAAAAAGAGCAGAATTGCCTCACACTTGGGTCTGTGTTGCCACCTGCTTCCCCTCGCAG